ACCATGAGGCAGCAGTGTGCCCTCGTTCAAAAAGGCCTTTTATTTTTTCTTTATATGCGTACTGCTTTTCCTCAGGTGTCCGTGATGTAAGTAGTCTGAATGCTGAGAGCTCCTTGGCAGACTTGGGCTTGGATTCGTTGATGGGTGTGGAGGTGCGCCAGACACTGGAGAGGGACTACGACATCGTTATGACCATGAGAGAAATTCGACTGCTTACAATCAACAAACTGCGTGAACTTTCCTCCAAGTCTGGGACGGCAGAGGGTATGGCATCTGGATTCCGGTTCCACCCTAATCGCCCAAACCCAAACAACTCAGCTCCCAATCCACCATTTTCACTTCTAGAGACATAAGCCTCTATCGTATGGTGAAGTAAGATCTGATAATAGCTGAAAGGGTTTTAAATGAGACATGTGCTGAGGTGCACTACTGCACTGACAGTTTGGTTAGAACTATCATTTTTCCATTTCAGGTAAGGATATGAGAAGGGTCTCTCAAGCTGCTCTGCTGCCAATGTAGTATCAGTAATACAGATATAATCAAGTCATACAGTAGCCATGCTATTAGGATGAATAAGAAAATAGTAAGGGCAAGACCAAGTCAATACAAAAATCCTTAGCCAAGGCTCAGAGTGAAAAGTATTTCCTGTGTGCCAGTCCTCCTTAAGAGCCTGACAAAAATAGTCTCTCTAGATTTCTAAATGGCTTGAATTCCCCATAGTATTATGCCATGGATCCATAAGCAAGGTACTGTCAATCAACTGCTCTGTAGTAACTGCTTGCATGAGTGCTTTTATATGGTAGTGTGCAGGATGTAATCTGAGACCTTTTATCTCTCTGAGGAATAAGCAACTTAATATCCTGCTTACTGCTAGGTAAAAGCACCTACAGCTGCTAATGAACAGTGGGGAGGTCTCTCCACACCATATTGATTTAGCAAGCCAGGGGGCTAATCCAGTACAGCTCTTAGCATTTCTTTTAGGGCTATGTTTGACCATATGACCATATTCTCTTATGACCAAGAATCTGGTCCTGAATCTAACTGGGTTTGTCTGGCATACTTCCCTTTGAAGAGATGAAACCATCACAGCTTACGAAGACTGGCCCGGGTGAGCCTCCAAAACTAGATTTGAACAACTTGTTGGTGAATCCAGAAGATCCAACAATCACCCGTCTCAACGACGTTCAGAGCACGGAGCGCCCTCTTTTCCTTGTTCACCCCATTGAAGGATCTACTGCAGTCTTCCACACTCTTGCCTCCAGACTTCATATGCCATGCTACGGGCTGCAGTGCACAAAAGGTACCCAAGTTCTTGTACATGTTGAATTTGTAAACTTAATATTCTAAATTTTAGTGTCCCTGTAGAGGAAGCTTTGCTCTAGACTCGAAACTTGGAGGATCAAACATCGTAGCCACAGTTCACATAAGGCTGTGTACTAAGTTATATTGAAGATGTGTGTATATGGGCAAATGGAACAGCTGCATCTGTCCTTGCCAGCAGATAATCACATGGGTGAAAAACAAGGCATGGTGTTCTTTAGAAACACTGGAGCATTACTATCACTTGTACAGAATTAGACTAAACCCAAGCTAACAATAATTGTGTATTAATCTATTTAGAAATTTACCTTCAAAGTAACCTGAATGTATCTAATAGGTTTCTTCTAGTGCTCCTGAAAGCATAATTGTCTCTCCCACTGTGTGAATGGAACCTATTACTAACTCCATGTTTTCTCTTGTGTTCTAGCTGCTCCCCTGGACAGCATACAGAGCCTGGCAGCCTATTACATTGACTGTATGAAGCAGATACAGCCTGAAGGACCTTACCGTATTGCTGGATATTCTTTCGGTGCCTGTGTAGCCTTTGAAATGTGCTCACAACTACAAGCACAACAAAATGCTTCCCATGCACTCAACAGTCTATTCCTTTTCGATGGGTCCCATTCGTTTGTGGCAGCATATACTCAAGTAAGAGATGCTAGGAAAATTTTCCGTCTGGAGACCATCCTGTCTCAACAGAGCTCATGCTTTGGGAGTTTATTATTCTGTATGAGAGGCATCTGAAAAACTGACAACTTTCATAATGGGGGAGGTGGGAAAGAGCTGCAAATAGTACATAATGGACACTTAAGGATTACTGGAGGGTGGGGATGCAAAGGCTTCATTAACTGACTGAGGCACAAATGCTGTTCTTGTCATGTAAACTGTAATATTAGTATATGTCTCATGTAAGATCCTAGAGCCTGCAAGATGGCATTCTAACGTGGGGTTCTAGGAAACCTTGCTTTAGCCTTTTTTTTT